ACCCCACTGCACACTAGTCCTATTCCCGCTTGGGGTGAAATAATAATAATAATAATAATAATAATAAAGTTTCATCGAACAATTCAAATTTCTACAAAATCAAAACATTAACCTAAATACTCGAGTCGTATCCTTAAATAACCTCGTCAGATCGGTATCATGCATGGTGCAAGACCCGTTCAGAAATATCTAAACAGTCAGCCGTATGCAACCGCTTTCGAAGATCAAAGGTTAAAATGGCTTTGAGCGAGTGGAGGCTGAGTGAGAGTCTTAGCCAAGACCATTCTTCTTTGAACATAGTGAACTGGTTGGCGCTACAGAATCCCAAACAAAGAATTGTACCAAGTAGCACAAACCGCATCACTTGAGGACTATCAACAGCAGCAACCACTAAAATGGATAACACGAACAAAAAAAAATAATGTCATAATCAAGATGTTGATAATGCACTCCATTTCAAGGAGAAATTTAGGAAGGACACACCCATCAATACTGGAACGAGCCATATCAACTACTGGACTTTTGTAACTATTTTCCTGAAAAACTCTTTTAAGAGAAAAATTTTATAAATTTCAACCGACATTATCATGGCTACTTGGCCAATGAATCCTCAATGTTTCCTTGGAGGGAAACTGCAATATATATATATATATATATATATATATATATATATATATATATATATATATATATATATATATAGTTTATGGAAAACTAGGTAATCCGTATGTGTAAACCTAAGGAAGATAAAATCCAGAGAGGTCAATGTAAATCCAGAGCAAATAATTTAAATAAAAACAGATTTTTAAGGTTCCATGTAATAAATTATTTCACCACAGCCCTTTACAAGGACTGCGGATCATCAGACTTTACTTCAAAAGGTTGAAACAAAAAATCGTTTGGAAGTAAAGTCTGATGATCCGCAGTCCTTTAAAAGGGCTGTGGTGAAATAATTTATTACATGGAACCTTAAAGTGGTCTGTTTTTATTTAATATATATATATATATATATATATATATATATATATGTGTGTGTGTGTGTGTGTGTGTGTGTGTGTGTGTGTGTGTGTGTGTGTGTGTGAAAAATATATAGAAAATAGGAAAGAACCAGATGGAGGCAGCATAAGTGCTCTTTCAACTATATAAATAAAAGAAATCAGACATCTCTATCTAAATATCTTTGGCATTTGAAGGAAATGAATAAAACACCAAAAGTAAAATGGAAAATTATAAACAAAACTAGAACTTGTAAAACTTGGGATGACCCATGCCTTTTGTGCCTGCATGCAAAACTACACATTATTAAGTTTTTAAATAATAAAAATCTATTAAACAATAGACATGAGTTAACGGTTTTTTTGCCGACATCATCAAATTTTTGCATTGAATAATTAGCATAAAACAAACAAACAATAAAATAATTTTTAAATTCCATAGCCCTAAAAAATAGTTTAAATGCCCTACAAAAAAAGATAACCCTTTATGTAGTCGTCAAAAAACAAATGTTAGCGACTTACGACAGTTTCATATACACAAAACCCTTTCAGAAAAAAATAAAATAAAAAAATAAATAAATCTCCATAGACACTGAACCAGACTAGACGATGTCATCTTCCGCATTAAATTTAGACACCTCAACCTTACCCTGACTTGACATCTGTGAATGTAACTGAGATATTGATACAAATTATTAACACCTTACGGCCCTTTTCTTTAAACAATTGCTCTAGCCGTTACCATAGAAATTTTGATTTCAATAATGAATATGCTTATAAAACGCGTAAATCTCAGAAATAAGTTATTCCCAAAAAAATTCGATTGAAGATGGAACAGAGCTTAGTACTTTAATTCAATTTAATTCAAATAATTATATTGAAGTTTTCGGTTATTGTTTTAAAACATGAGACCTCTTATTTAGCGTGTTGGAATCATATTTTTAAATAAATAATTATATATATATATATATATATAAAATATATATATATATATATATATATATATATATATATATATATATATATATATATACCATTTTATATATATTGGATGATCAAGAATGGTAAGAGGTCCTTGTGTAAGGTTATTATTATTTTCTTGTATGCGTACATATGTCTTCTGCTTTTCTGAATTTAATGAACATAAAAATTGTCCAAAAATGTTGATGCTTTGAAGGCTTTCCTTAAACTGTTGGCCATTTTTCAAGAATTATTTTTCTATTTATATTTCTGAGATAAGGTATTGCAACTATTTACTTTCTTTAGACTTTTGTTCTCATCTTTATCGTCATATTCACGACGTTTCGGTCCTTGTACGCCCCGACCGTCTTCAGGTGATATGCGTTGCAATTTCGAACCGAACCGTTTATTTCGCCCACCAGGATAGATTGTTCTAATTCCACGTACCATGTCCTTCCTGGATATCTCACTTTCAATTATTTCCTTTTAATAACTCAATCTCCAAGTTTTCATCACCTCCGCTGTGGCCAGATATTGAACTCACAACATTTTGGGTCACGTCACTGGAGTAATTCATCCAACACTTTTATCGACTGTATCTGACAATAAAGATGAGAACATCAGTCCTATCAATATAAATACTAATTATTTTTTACACCAGTATAGTAAATGGTATGCTATTGTAGACGGTTTAATGTTTGCTGAAATTAGACATTTTTAATTTCCAAATAAAGCTAGTACATTATGGCCTGGATTATAATAAATGTTATGTTATTTTGTTTTGCCTTTTTTTATTTAATAAGGGTTTCCTTCATTTTTAACCACTTTTGAAGTGGAAGCTACATATGACATTAGGGTCTTTATATTCATTAACTACAGAAAAGAGATTTGTACGTATACAATAAAAACTTAATAAAAATCTAAACAAAAGAACCATATCGATCTTTTTCAACAGAACACGCATAACACAAGGATTGCTGCCCAAATAAAATAATAATATATATATATATATATATATATATATATATATATATATATATATATATATATATATATATATATATAAAATTTCTCAGAGTTAACCTGTAGAAAAAGACAATATTTATAAATGTAAAAGACAATAGGAAAACTGTAATAGTTGCCGACGCGTTTCGTCCAATGTAGACCTTTTTCAAGGCAAACAAACGAAATGAATTTATTAAACAAAGTAATTAATAATAACAAAACAAAATTTCTTTAGCAACTGGAAGAATTTAGAGAACGCTATTTTCATACGGTTAACTGAAAATTAAGTACTTAGCATGTGTCTTCCATCTGACAGCAATTCGAATATAAGGATCTTATTATTCAAGGAATTGATAGTAATTTAATGTGTCATTAAGTTCTGATAACGAAGTGATTTCGCCATTAATCACATTAACATTGGTATTTAATTCTTTGCATAAATTGTTTCTTTATGGTATAATTTACAAGCTGCACACTCTAATACACACACACACACACACACACACACACACACACACATATATATATATATATATATATATGGTTGCTTATTTGGGCAACACATAAGCAACGTATACATATTTTCTTCTTTCAAGTACAGTACAGCCTAAGTTAATCTGGTTACAGACATAAGGACCTAGAACTTAAAAAAGGCGCTCGCGTTATATACCTCAATTTCATTTTTACATATATTACCCCCGTAGAAAAATTGTTTAATTTTCAGTTTTTCAATAAAGATTCCAGGCTGTCAACACCTTAAGTAAACCTCCTCCCCAGTGTTAAATAATGAATTTCTTCGCTATTATGAAGAAAAATATATTATAGTTGTTTCAAATCAAACTGATTAAATTTTAAATCAGGCAATATTCCTCAAATAAAGTTTCAGCAAAATATATTCTATTTTTGAAAGATTTTTTAATAAAGAGAATTATATTGTGCTTACAAATGTTTAAAATGGCTAAATTTTCGGCGATTTCAAAAGAAATATAACTACTTCCAAACAATTTAAATTAGTTTTGAAATACAGCAAAGTATTTTATTTGTTTGAAATATTAAATTAAATTTAATTTAATTTAATAGCTTGAAATTAAAACTAAAATAAAGGCTTCAAGAAAGATTTTTCATTATTTTTTTTTTTCAATTCATTTTGAACTTTTCTTATCGTCTTTCTTTGGAGTTTATCTATTAGCTGAGATAGACTGAACTGGCTGACCTGTGTTTGGTGTTTGCCGACCACAGCTGCGTCAACGCATAAACAATGAAGAGGACTATTGCAAAAAGTGGAAAAGATAAATAAAGAGAAGAGAAAGAATAAGAGACGAACACAAACACTGTTAGTATCGGACGAAGAAAAACCCGCCAAAAAGATGATGTCAGGGGTTCAGAATTAATTGGAGCCGAATAATTTTGCAACTGGGAAGCGGCAACTCTGACCGGCTCTTCGTTCTTCATTTGAGCAATCGTTTTTATTTTGTTATACTATTGTTATTTCTTTATTTTTTATCTATTTATTGTTTACTTAGCGCATCTGTGGGCTACTACTTCTCCTCCTATTCTCAACGCAATCACCGGCTAAGCAAGCAATCAGTCAAGGCGCGTGGATTGTTGTTTGGCGGGAAAGGTCTGTTGTGGTAGCAGACGAAATATGGAATAAGGAGAGAGAAGCGGCGGCCTTTCACTCCGGCCATTTTAAAATCAGGGCAAATATAATGATGTCTTTTAAGAGGTTGAGTAAAAGGTAAAAAGTTAAAGGCAAGGAAGGAAATTGAAAAGAGAAAATAAAAAAAAGGAAGGTAAGAAAAAAAAAACAAGAACAAGCAAGAAATAAAAAAAAAATGAAGTCATAGAGAAGGACAGTAAGAGAGACCGACAGAGTGACAGAAAAACAGACAGAGAGAAAGAGATTTATATTTAAACAAGAATAGAAAACCATTTTCATATTCAAGTGTGTCAAACAAGGGAAAGTCAAGGGAATGAAAACTTGCAAAAGAAAAAGTAAGGCTGTTGCAATTAATTAAGTAGAAAAAGACGAAAACCTATTCAAAGAAAGATGGATTCCGTTAATGTGATGAAAGAAAGAATTGCAAAACGAGGAACAAAATTGTAAAGTGATAAGAGAGAAAGGAACAGAATGAGAGAGAGAGACAGAGAGAGAGAGAGAGAGGAACAGAATGAGAGAGAGAGGGAGAGAGAGAAAGGAACAGAATGAGAGAGAGAGAGAGAGAGAGAAAGGAACAGAATGAGAGAGTGAGTGAGAGAGAGAGAGAAAGGAACAGAATGAGAGAGAGAGAGAGAAAGGAACAGAATGAGAGAGAGAGAGAGAGAGAAAGGAACAGAATGAGAGAGAGAGAGAGAGAGAGAGAAAAAACGTTTTTTTTTGCAATGTACAGAAGCAAAAGATTCAAACTTCGTTGATATGATGTTTTTCTAAAAGTATCATAGATATGGTCCAATGCCACAAATCATGGGGCACCCAGTGAGGACCAAATTCACTGTTCAGTCGTTACTGATCTAGTGAAACAAGCTTTCTAACCATTACAGTACGCCGAAGTGATCAAAATATTTGTTGATATATACTCAATGAAAAGCCCGAACCTATTGAGATCCATCATATATATATATATATATATATATATATATATATATATATATATATATATATATAATTTGTGTATTTAGGCAGCAATCCTTCTTTCATACACGTTTAATTAAATACGATAAGCAAAGTGCTTTGATTTAGTTTTTTTTATACAATTTCTGATGTGATATTATAATTTTTTTTTTCTTTTCGGAGGATAAATTATATAAAAACTGTCCAACTGTTCTTTTTTCCCGAGCGCTTTCGGCTATACATTTATCCATTTTCAAGGTTGAAATATATTAACTGTTAACAAGAAATAGATTCTTGTATATATGTATTTATATAATGTTTTCATTTTCAAAACACGGTCAAGATATTGCGTCCATGTTCATAGTTGATATTACTGAGTTGTTTTTTTTTGTTTTTATTAATAAGGCTTCCATTATTTTTATCCTTTTTTACATGTAGACGATCCTATTATATTTCTTTTATCAACAAGTATGTTACGAATAGTGTCTGGTAGGTCTCCATAAGTATTTAAATGAGATCTAATTGATCTATGGTCAGAAAGCTGTAGTGTTAGTCTTCTTGTCAGACATGTTGTAATGTGGCCTATCTAATTGTTTTCGAAATTTTGATTGATCAGGAATACAATTCTTTAAAGGATATTTAATATATAAATATATATATATATATATATATATATATATATAGATAGATAGATAGATAGATAGATAGATAATATTAGTGCTAAATATATTGATAATTGAAATTTTTATTCAAAAAATAATCCACCCACTTCTCCTAAAATTCTCTCTGTTATGGTTTGATCTCCCTCCTCCTCATACTTACACTCTCTCTAAATTCTGTTTTTATTTCCGGAGTTTTTTTTTTTTCTGTTTATCTAGGACTCTGCACCATATTCATCAGACCTACAAATTCAATTCTTTGTAGGTCTGATGAATTGGATCGTATTTACGATTCCAATGGAATATATATATATATATATATATAGAGAGAGAGAGAGAGGTGGGGGTACGGTGGATAAATAATTGTCGTCTAAATAACGTTGAAATCACATTTTAACAGATATATTTACCAAAGTTACGTAAAAATACTTTGAAATACTAAAGTCAAAACTTATACAATAAAATCCCCATTAGCTTTAACCACGGCCTTCAGACGACGTTAGACTCCGCTGCAACTCGTCTATATGGTCTCCTTGTTTAAGTTCGTGAATACTGTCATAAACCTTGCCTTCAGTTCATCTTTGGTGTTACAAGGAAATTTGCTGGTCTCTCGTCCAACGGCGTCCCATACATAATAATCAAGGTGGTTGCTGTCTGAGGAGTTCGGTGGCCAGTTGTAAGAGGTGATCGCAGAAATTGTCTGACAGCCATGACTGGGTTCTCTTGCTTGTGTAGTATAGTGCAGAGTCCTGTTGCCTGACATAGGTTCTCCCATCAGCCACCCTCTTGATCCAGGACAGAACTGCCTCCTCAAGAATTAGATGTAGGTCCCCTGCTATGGGTTAGTTAGTAAATCATTATAATCTCCAAAAATCCTTACAACCGCAAATTATGTTCTGTTTTTGAATAAACAACAAAACCCGGCTGGGTTTAGAACTCGTCTTCTCGATTTTCAATTCCGTGCCATTATTGATTACACCATCCGCACATCCAATTTTACAACATTTGGTATTTCCAATCGATTACCCATCTAGATAATGACCAGGTCCGAAGTTATTTAACTTCGATGATCGTACGAGAAGAGGCGTTTCATGGTAGTATGGCCGTACACCGTAAGAAAGAAGAAAAACACAATGTCGGTGTTAGGGAGTGAGTATTATCGAAGGCTGGGAGAAAAATGTGTAACGCGTAAATTAGGACTTTTGCCAACGCCAGCCAATTCAATATCAAGATTACTTTGGTGCATTTAACGCCAGAAGCTGTTTTAAGTTAACAGTAGGGTAGAGGGAAAAGGGATTAAAGTGAGCGCTAAAATGTATTAAACCTAAACATTAAGAAAGTAAATACAAAAAAAATTAGAATATCATTTTAAGAACAATGAATATTTTTCACAACCACCAGATTTACTCTTCCTTTATATTCGTTCGTATATTTATATATTATATATATATATATATATATATATATATATATATATATATATATATATATACATATATATATATATATATATATATGTATATATATATATATATATATGTATGTATATATATATATATATTATATATATATATATATATATATATATATATATATATATATATATATATATATATATATATATAAATTAATTGATTTAAAACATGTTTTTTTCCGCTACATAGTTCTAACCATGTTTCAAAAATAGAAGCTATATACCCCGAATTTAATTTTGCAATTAAATTAAAAGCATTAGTTCCATTTCATCCTCAAGCGTGTAGCGGAAAAACCATATTTTAAATCAATTAATTTATAATATTAATGCTCTGTAAACTTACATTGAGCACTATTTTGTAAAAATTAAAATATCTATAAGAACACCGGATTATATATCTTACTGTTCTTGATTTTATATATATATATATATATATATATATATATATATATATATATATATAATGTACAGACAATTTCTAGTAAACAGAATCGACCAAATCTGTCTCCTTACTTTTTTGTTGTATTTTCAAATATTCGATTAAGTTGTTGAGTATTGTGGTCGAAATTGTGAATAAAACTCATTATTTCGAGCACAATTCTTTTTAAAAATTTGAATAATACAATGGAAAATTTAGCAGACAGATCGTTCCGTTTTTTTTTTTTTATCAAACTTGTTTGGATGTACACTTGTTGACTAAATATACTTTTATATATATATATATATATATATATATATATATATATATATATATATATATATATATATATATATATATATATGTGTGAGAAAAAACATACGCTCTCGAGAGAACTCGAACCTTTAACCCATCTTATGTGAACCGACATCATATAGTTTGTCGTGCTGTTACCATTTAGCCATAGAGAACCGACTGGGTGGCAGTGTCTGAATTAATGCTTATAAACACAAAATCATTGAAGATATTTCTCGATCGCTCATTTCTGCTCAGGAAACGCAACTTAACATAAAAAAATGACGGAATACAGGTTCGCTTCCTGTCGGAGAAGGTATATTTTTTATGAAATTTCTCGAACGTTTAGGACGGTAAATATGATTAATACTGTTTAATTAAAAACAGAGCATTTACTTAAATAAATTGTGTCTATAAACATAACGTATAAAGATAATATATATATATATATATATATATATATATATATATATATATATATATATATATATATATATATATATATATAAACAAACACAAAAAAATTTCATGAGGTTATTTTTATTTCATTAGGGTCGTAAAAAACGGCCCCAATTCATCAAACTCCCAAATCTTAAAGCATTTTGATTTGATGATCTGATGAATTGGGGCCGTTTTTAAAGACTCTAATAAAATAAATATAGCCTCATGAAATTTTAATGTTTGCGTCTATTATTATAATAATTATTGGTCTGTTTCTGACATAGAGCTCTCCCTGGATTTATATCCCTTTGGAAATAACTATACTGATCACTAATATTATCATATATATATATATATATATATATATATATATATATATATATATATATATATATATATATATATATATGTTGACTACAAAAAAAACTGGACATTTTATACAGTGTTTTTAATTTTTGGAATTTTTTTGTTAAATTTATTTGAAAAAAAAAAAGCAAAGGAAAAAATGCAGTAGCTTAAAACATAAATGGAGCTCTAAAACATATTAAACCTTTGTGGTGTACAAATTAAAGAACCCTGGAAAAATTTCTTGGCATTTTTTCAGTCCGTATCCCTTAAAAAGAACAATCAACTCGCGTTGATAACTACAGCATCCTGGAACAATAAATGGTTAAAAAAAAATTTGTCATTTAAATTTTGTTCATCCATATAGTCTATATATATATATATATATATATATATATATATATATATATATATATATATATATATATATATATATATTAATTCTTTTTTCATCGTGTAGTAAATCTAAAATCTCCTGTTTTTTTTTTAGAGTACACTGTATTATATAGTATCTATGTGTTGTTTACTAGTACGTTGTTGTTGGTATGATTGCCAAGCGATATATATCAATTGAAGTTTGTTTCCTTGCCAGGTTTATATTATTGTAAAGCATGGATGTTGTTAAAGATTTCTTTTTAAGTTCCAGGGCCCTATGTCTGTTGTCGGATTAGCTTAGGTTCTATTGCGTACTTGAAAGGAAGAAAAAAAGGAAAGAATAGAAGCAAAAAGAGAGAAAGAAAGAAAGAAACAAACAATGAAGAGAGGAGGGAAGTAAGAAAGAAATAAAGAGAAAAGAAAAAAGATGAAAAAAGAAAGAAGAAATCAAGAAAAAGGTACGGGGAAAATGAAAGATAAAATAAAGTATCTAAAACAAAAGAAAGAAGTTAAGGAAGAAGGGACAGAGAAAGAGTGGAAGGAAGGAAGGAAGGAAGGAAGGAAGGAAGGAAGAAGAGAAGAGAAGAGAAAAGGAAAGAAAAACAAAGAACGCATACAAAAAAGGCAAAAGAAAGAAAGAAAAAGACAGAAAGAAAGAAGATGAAATTAATCTGATTATGGTCGAATACTTCAGGCAAAAAGAAAGAAAGAAAGAAAGAAAGAAAGAAAGAAAGAAAGAAAGAAAACAAACAGACAAACAATCAAAAAGAAAAAGTTAAAAATAAAGAAACTAAATAAAAGAAAGAAGTTAAGAAACAAGAGGGGTAGAAAAGAAAGAAAGAAAGAAAGAAAGAAAGAAAGAAAGAAAGAAAGAAAGAAAGAAAGAACGAAAAATGCAGTAAAAGGGAAAGGAAAAACGAAAGTTAAAAATAAAGAAACAAAACAAAAGAAAGAAATTAAGAAACAAGGGGGAGAAAGGGAAGAAGCAAAGACGAAAGAAAGAAGAGAAAAGAAAAAGAAAGGATGCATACACAAAAAGGCAAATAAGTAAGAGAGAAAGAAGAAAGAAAGACAGAACGTAAGTCAGAAAGAAAGACGTTGAATTTAATCTGATGATGGCCGAATACTTCAGTAGATTTAAAAGAAATCCAAAAAGAAAAGAAAATCCCAGGACGGTAAGAAATAGCAGAGTATCATCCATAAGAGATACCTTAACAAATCGATCGGAAACAAAGTTCGATGGCACGTAGACAAGGAAGCTGCGTGCTGGCTTGAGTCTATTCTGGAAACAGCACCCTACATAAAAGCCTCTCTCTGTCTGTCTACCTCCCATCTCACAAGTCATTCAGCAGGGAGCAACAAGATTTGTGGGGCATTCCTGTAGATATAAGTATGATCTTATCTGTGACGCCTTCTTGTGGACATCAGAACATTGGCATTGGTCGTCCGTTCTAAACGTATGCGAAGGCACATATTGTCTCACTGAAGACCTACCAGGTGCAAGTGGATAATCATGGCGACGGGAGAGGAAGACTCCTGAGGATCCGTACAATCGATACGACATGATGGTGATGTTGATGATGATGATAATGATGGTGATGATGATGATGATCTATAAGGGGGCGATATTCAACATCACGTTCATAGTCATCAGCATTCAGTCAAAGCGAGAATTATTTCCTTTTTGTACATCTATAACCAAAATAATCTCCTTCCGCGTCTATTGGACAAAAGTAGAGTTTTGTCCCTTTTTTTTTTTTTTTGTTTTTTTTCTTAGGATTGGCTTTCCGGTTACTTCTAAAGTGTTCTCATTTACTTTCACTGCCAGTAAATACTTAGTGGCATTATCGCCATGTTCGGGCCGAAAATTTAAAAACAAAGTCATATATCGGCCTCGTTTAGAAATAGGGCTTTATCAATGTTGTTGTTGCTGCTTTTCTTCAACATCAAGCTTTGAGATCGCGCGGAGAATCTCATTAGCAAAGACGTCATATCGGTATCGCCAAATCGTCCAGGATTAGTATTTTTCTAAATTGCAACAATAATTAATGCTACCATGTGCTACACTAAAATAGAAAAAGTACACACACACACACACACACACACACACACACACACACACACACACACACACACACACACACACACATGTATAGGATTAATACGAATATAAAATTTTCACTAAGCTGATTGATGTTATATAGAGAACCTCTCCTCCAGAGTTTTGCAGACGAAACTTTGTGCAATTATTCCGTCCACTCGTCAGGAGATACTATTAAATTCACTACCTGACGTCCCCGGATTGGTAAAAACGGCGGTAGTAGGAACGTTGGTTTCATGAATAATGAATATTTTGTTTTAAATTGCTCGGCATTTTCGTTTTACGGATCATTTGTATTAAATTGATCGACATTTCATTTTACGAATCTTTTGTCTTAAATTGCTCGGCATTTTCGTTTTACGAATGTTTTGTCTTAAATTGATCGACATTTTCGTTTTACGAATCTTTTGTCTTAAATTGATCAATATTTTCGTTTTACGAATCTTTTGTCTTAAATTGCTCGGCATTTTCGTTTTACGAATGTTTTGTCTTAAATTGATCAACATTTTCGTTTTACGAATCTTTTGTCTTAAATTGCTCGGCATTTTCGTTTTACGAATCTTTTGTCTTAAATTGCTCGGCATTTTCGTTTTACGAATCTTTTGTCTTAAATTGCTCGGCATTTTCGTTTTAAGAATATTTTGTCTTAAATTGATCGAAATCTTCGTTTAGTGCTTTAATTGCACATTTTCGATTTACTAATGTTTTGTCTTAAATTGCTCGACATTTTCATTTTACGAATGCTTTGTTCTAAATTGCTCGGCATTTTCGTTTTACGAATATTGTAGTGAGCACTTTTTCATTAATTTAGCCGATTTTTTGACAAATATTGTTTGATTTCTTAATCACACAGACACACCCACACACACACACACACACACACACACACACACACACACACGTATATGTATATATATATATATATATATATATATATATATATATATATATAATAAAATATATATTCTAAGGTATGCTATATTTATGGGTTAAAGTGCACAATATCAGGGATAGAGCGTAAAGTAATTATAAAAGTGGACATATTTATTGTGGGCATAGATATAAACAATGTATGATAAGTTCAATTTGTAGGTTTTAAGTGATAATAATATTTACTGTTGAAGATGTGAAACTGACAGTCACCTTGATTTCTATGTCTATACTTTATTATCTAAAAACATTGTATTCAGATAACGAGCACCCTTTCCCCATAATCAGAGCGTTCATTAATCATTTCACCCCAAGCAATTCAATAAAGCTACTAAAACGCGAAGTGTTACTAAGTGTTAAAGGTTAAGAGAAAATATGCCAAAAGAACTAGAATTAAGAAGACAGTAGATAACGATTGACATTGCTTTTACGTTTTTAAAAATCAAAGTTGCCTCAGATGTAAGAAACCGGAAGAGAGTTCCACAAACGAGAAGTGTGAGAGAAGAAACATCTAGCATAGAACTTACGGTTGCATCTAGATATTACTGCTTAAAACACATACGCACACACGACCGCGATTTCTAGCAGTCTGTGTTTGTGTGTGTGTTTATGTGTGTTTTGTGTGTGTTTGTTATTTTTCTATAGCAATCATGGAATTTTCCATTAGGATTTACCCTTCCATCTCCATTGAATTTAATTCATTCTTTTCTTTCATGCGTTCTGCAAAATGAGCTGGAAGCTGACATTAAAACAAAACCGGAGACAGCCAGCAGAAATCAGGTTCTTGAAAACCAGGCGGCCAGAAAATTGGAAAGAATTTCGAGGAATAAGGGGAAAAAAAATTACAGGATTCTTAAAGAGGGGATTAAAAAAAAGTTTTTCCAGAAGCAATTGGGCACAATGCAAAAAAATAAATAAATAAATAAATAAATAAATAAATAGCGAAATTAACGACAATAAAAGAACGAATTAAGCTATTTCAAGAGAAGTGTTCCCAAACACGAGCGAACGTTACCACACACACACACACACACATATATATATATCGAGAGAGAGACGGAGATAGAGAGAGGGGGAATGAATAAGGTAGAAAAAAGGAGACACGAATGTACATAGAAGTATATTTATATGACTATATATAGAGAGACTAAAATGCTTGAATATACATCGGATATATTTTCTTTGCGTGTATATATATATATATATATATATATATATATATATATATATATATATATAGTAAATTATAAATTTATGGTATGTTATATATATGGATAAATATGTTCAATATCAGGATAGAGTTAATATATCTATAATATGAACCAAGAGGTCAACACTGAGAGGTAACAAATTTTTAGCATGAAACAGACAGTCACCACTCATTGTTGACCTTAGTGCCCATATATATATATTTATATATATATATATATATATGTGTGTGTGTGTGTGTGTGTGCGTGTGTGTGAATCTGTGTGTGTAATTATAAATATTGCTTGTATGTTTATAAGCACATATGTATACGAAAATATGAGTCCGCACCCACACACAAAAAAACACTCATATATATATTATATATATATATATATATATATATATATATATATATATATATATATATATATATATATATATATATATATATATATATATATATATATATATATATAACTATATATAAAACGTTCTACATATCCGAGCGCTTCGACTATTCTTTTAGACATTATTAAGGCCGATTTTATTTTTAACTAAATATGTGGACTTTTTTATGAATGGTTCTGAAGTTTTTAGGAATTTTTTTCCGAACATGGTCAGTACATTCTGGCCGTGTTCATAGTTAATGTTTCTGAATGTTGGCTTTCCTTATTTTTATTACGAGGGCTTCCATAATTTTAATCTTATTTGATATGTGGATGAGGCTATTGCAGTTGTATTTTCTACGAGTATGGACAGTATTTTTTTTACACACTTTGTGTCCAGAAAAGAAAACTCTTGTACGAATTCAAGAAAAATTAAATGAAAAGCTCAATCGCAGTATTTTGTCAGTCGTCTTTAACGGAACGCAGACGCGCACACACACACACACACGCGTATGTGTTGTTTGGATTAAACATGTAAAAAAAGCCCCTCTATCCTCTTAAGAATCATTCATGTGTGTAGTGATTAAAATGCCCTCGCAAATGCATGCAAAATCATGCATGAAAACTTTATAAGCAGGGAAAAAAGACCATACTGAGAAAAAACTCCGAGCGCTTTTTTTGTTAACTTCAAGCACTGAATTACACGGAATAAAAGAGTCAAAACGCACTGGGTGGTACTCGTCAGATCACATACCAGAGACAAAAGCACCCGAAATAAAAAGGCAGCGAATGTTAGAAAGAATAATACAAGGGTGGTCGAAAATGTGCACCTCTTCTGATTAATATATATATATATATATATATATATATATATATATATATATATATATATATTCATATAGCAGCCTGAATCAATGCAGCTCTTATCTTAAATAACAGCTTAAAAGAGACTGACCAACACAAGGACTGACCAAAAATCATGTTAAAAAAAGTAAAAAAAAATAAAAAAATAAAAAACTACAGACAAAAAGTTCATTTTCTCCAGCAAGACATTCATTTCTGTAGTTCACTGCGACCAGCAAGCAGAATTTTTTTTCTTGATGATGGCCATGTTGGCCGAAACTAGTCAACGAATCTAAATGAAATAGTAATAAAACGAAAGAATATTAATATACAACTCATTGTGTCTGAAGATTTTAATTTTCTAATATTTTTATTGTTCAATATCTATGCGATGCCACGTCAGAGTTAGGGGATGGGTTAAGGAAGACATCCAGTAAAGAAATATATTTATCAGATTTATAAGAAAAGAAATAGGGAATTCTATTATTTGACTGAGAGTTTGGGCAACTGAAAAATTGTAAGTCTGATTACCATCAATATCAGTAGCATTAGAATGATTAAACCAATTTACGTGATAAGCATTAAAATCACCAAGCACAAACATTATCACAGATGAACGTAGAAAGAGTCATTTCAATGCTGTCAGATATTTTGTCGAATAATCTACAGTCCTGTGAAGAAGGGAACAACAAACGGAAAACAAAAAGCTAAAAGAAAGCAATATAGAGAGTCGAAAGCATACGAAATCTTAATCTAAGG